CATGGCTCCGTCGACGGAGCCGTTTCATTTAACTCAAAATGGCCGCTGTGCCGTGCCGATCAGCTGATTGTCGGCACAGAGCAGCAGTCTAGACGGGGATCTTCCGACTCTTCTTTGTGCCCTTCACGAGGCATAAAGAATCTGCTGACGAAGGGTTCTGGGGTTGGCAGATCCCCGTCCAGACTGCCGCGCTGGGCCGACAATCAGCTGATCGGCACAGCATGGCGGCCATTTTGATTTTAATGAAGCGGCGATTATTTAAATTGCAGCTTCATTTCCCTTTGCCGTCCTTCCTAATCTACATGGCTCCGTCGACAGAGCCATGTAGTCTAGACACACCCATACTGTGGTCCTGGCAGTCCTGCAAGTACCTAAGATAGAGCTTCACACTTTTATTCTCAGGTGCTCCCTGCTCCCACTCATGTCTCACGTGAGCAACAAATGAACAATGAGAAAAGATGGATCATTAACACGACTCCACAACAGCCATGGGGAAGGAGGGCGGACATCCTCCCCTGCTCCTCAGGCATGTTGTGATATGGAGCTAACTTCCAGCTGTTCCACCGTATGCAACAGCTGCACCAGGACCCTGCATGCTGAGTGCAATTACAAAGTGTGTTCCCTTGCTGTCATACTGTTATGACAGCGTCCAGGCCACCAAGGTCGCCTTGGTTATCGCTACGGTTAAGCAAACATCGGAATGTCCGTCCCCTAGAAAATTCCAAAAAATTGGTATGAAAAGGAAATACTGAAAATTCTGCTGGAATGAGAAACTCTGGAAAACTTTGATTTGGAAATGCTGAAGCTGAATCAATTTGATGTTAAATGGCATTTGCCAACGGTGCTTCAATACCTCAATGGGGGTGTGATGCTTCATGTCCTCTTTCTTCCCCAACACACAGGCTCGCAGACCAGACTACTACCGTCTTTTAGCGTATATAATCTGCAGGTTATGCAAGGTTTTACAACCCTCGCTCCCCTCCTCCGCATGTTATACAAGTTTTTTTTTACTGAAATTACAGGAAGACAAGACTGACTCTTACTAGATAAAAGCAGCATATTTTAATTTAATAATAGCGGCAGTGATGTTAAAATACATTAAAATACATTAAAAGTTAAAACTTTAATGTGAAACTAATAATAAAAGAATAAATACATGGTAAAACAGTGTTAAAAAAGCCATCCTCGCATTGTCATAAAATACGTAAGTTAATTCATTCTGCATCAATAGAATCACCTGTAGCATCCTCCTCCTCAGCGTCTGAGTTTTCAAAACCGTCAAAACCTTCATCATTGTCGCTGTCTTGAAAAACATCCATAAAATCCATAACCAAGGCTAGGCGAGCTTCAGTGACAGTTGAGGTCTGTGGTGTCGAATCAGAAACGTTGTCGTAGTCGGATTTGGAGCTAGACGAATCAATGTCAGGAAGAATTTCACATTTATGGAACCCATTCTGAATAGTAGCCTGTTTTATTCTGTACCAAGCAGCCAAAACCCATTTGCAAACTTCCACGTAAGTTGCACGGCGCTGTTGACTGCCGGAGTGAATGTGTGTTCCCCATTTGTCATCCAATTGTCCCATTCCTCTCGGATGAAGCACTTGAATGGTTGGTTGACAGCCACATCAAGTGGTTGCAACCTGAAGTTCAGTCCACCTGGAATTACGGCGATATGTGCACCCACGGTGTTGATATGTTTCTGAACTGAAGTTTCTTTATGGGTGGCCAAGGAATCTAAAAGCAGCAGATCTAGGATTGAAAAAAACCTACCTTTTTGTGCACAAAAGCAGCTGTCTGTCCACGTCTTCATAACATCTGTGTTCATCCAGCCCTTTCTGTTACAAACCACACAAATGCCAGCCGGCAGTTTTTCTCTAGGCATCGTTACCCTCTTAAAAATCACCATTGGTTTTAATTTATCACCATTTGCCATGCATGCCAACACTACAGTAAAGCAGGTGCATTCATGACTGGTGGTTGCTACACTGACTGTTTTCGACACAGTTTCCCATGAGGCACTGCAGTCACACTGCTCCCAAAATGCCCCAACACAGCTTGGTCAGAGTGGAGCGCAGGCCATAAAAAAGAATGGGGGAGGTCACAGAGTATCTGAACTACAACTCCCATGAAGTTCTGCTGCCCCACACGCTGCGGAGCCTCATGGGAGTTGTAGTTCAGGTCAAACTGACATGAAACAAACTGTTTCGAGTTCAGTTCATCAAACAAAAATGTTTTGAGCCAGGTGGAACTGACATTAGAATTAGATTTTCCCAGTGGAGAAATCAGAATATTCTGTCCCTCTAAATTTCCCCACAGAAACAGCATTTTCTGTCAACTTCCTCCCTGCCCCGCACCATGTTGACGGGATATTTCCATCCAGCTCCCATTATCACCATGCTGCTGCCGTGCGACGTGGCTGCTCAGCACGCCATGGTGACAAGGGGCACATGCATGTGGCACTGATCGACAAACATGCACTAGCGCTGCCTGAGCTAACGAGCCATAAGAGCAGTGTGGCCATGACTGTGACTTTGCAAGCGGCATCTCAGATTGGCTGCCCGAATATAAATGCACCTGCACCCCCAGGTCTGCACAGGACAGAGCTCAGCCCCACCCGCTCCCACTTGAGCTAAAAGAATGGCTAGCAGTATAGGGCCTATAATCCACGGCCTTTGCGCTCTTTCACAACTGACTGGCATTGTGCCCATGAAAGCTCACGACTAAGAAGATGGTTTACTAGGTGATGAGCTTTCGTGGTCTGATCTGAGGAAGTGAGTCTGGCCCACGAAAGCTCATCACCTAGAAAACCGTCTTGTTGGTCTTTAAAGTGCTGCATAGTCCTGTCTTTTGTTTCAGCAAGACCAGACTAACATGGCTACATCTCGATTACTAATCTACATGGCTGTGTCTAGACTGCATCCCTTTCCCGTAAAAGGGATGCAAATTAGACACATCGCAATTGCAAATGAAGCGGGGATTTAAATCTCCCCCACTTCATTAGCATAAAAATGGCTGCCACTTTTTTTCGGCACGGAGCTTTGCCGGCAAAAAGCGCCAGTCTAGACGCTGATCTTGCAGAAAATAAAGTCTTTTCCGAAAGATCCCTTATCCCTTATTTTAAGAGAGATAAGGGATCTTTCGGAAAAGGCTTTATTTTCCGAAAGATCCGCGTCTACACTGGCGCTTTTTTCCAGCAAAGCTCCGAGCCGAAAAAAAGCGGCAGCCATTTTTATGCTAATGAAGCGGGGGAGATTTAAATCCCCGCTTCATTTGCAATTGCGATGTGTCTAATTTGCATCCCTTTTACGAAAAAGGGATGCAGTCTAGACACAGCCCATGTGTTGTTAGTCTCTAAGACTATTTGTTGGTTTTTAAGTTTTTCCAGGTACAGACTAACTCAGCTCCCCCTGTATTTTCCGACTATCATTAGCCAGGCCTCCAACGCCACTTGGTATCTTCCTCACTCAGAGCAAAATGTAGCTGCCTGCTCATTAACCGGTCGCTTGGGCTCCGGAAGCTGCTGTGGCTCACAATTTGTTTCCAGATACAATTTGTGTGCTGTGCTGATAACCCACCTCAGCCGCTTGGAGCACTTGTGCTGACAGTCCCTAGATATGCAGGGTATCATTACTGACTAGAAGACGTACGCACCGGTGTTTGGGTCCTTTAGGGCAGGGGCTAAAGGTGTGGAGGGTACAGGAGTCCGGGCAGAGGTTGGAGGGACTCAGGCCAGGTTATGGGGGTGCAGGAGTCACAGCAGGAGGTAGGGTATGGGAGGGTTCTAGGGTTGCCAGATGGTTTCAACAAAAATACCGAACACACTTGACTTGACATCACAATCGACATGCCATCTTAGTTAGAAAATACCCGACATTTCTATTTTCTCATTTCCATTTTCTCAATTTGTTTCCCGAACAGAAAGCTCAAATACTGGACTGTCTGGTTCAAAACTGGACACCTGGCAACCCTAAAGGGGTCAGGGCAGGAGACAGGGGTGCAAGAGTCAAGGCAGGAGGCTGGGAGGGGGCTCGGGGTAGGGGGTAGGGATGCAGAAGTTAGGGCAGGGGTGAGGGGCTAAGTGCAAAGAGGTTTGGGAGGTGCAGGATAGGGGGTGGTCAGATTCAGGGCAGGGCTTGCGGGGCTCAGGGCAGGGAGCTGAGAGGTGTGGGGGGACAGATCGGGGCTGCCCATGGCAATGAGGATGGCTCTGTAGCTGCTTCCCCCACCTTGGTTCCTCTAGGGCAGTGGTGCCTTGTCCTGAATGCTGGCAGCTGGGGGGCTCAGGGCTGCCCGGCCCAGCTCCAACAGGCCCCTGGGAAGGGCGGAGGGGTGGTTGGGAAGGCAGGGATGTGTGGCTTGGCCTTGGCCCCAGCAGGTGAGGAGGGGGAGTTGAGGATGCATAGCCTGACCCCAGAAGTTCCTGGGGGTGCTTCCCAGCCCAGCCCTGGAAGGCCCTTAGGGGAGCAGCTCCTCCAGGAGAAATAGGGGGCGCTGGCTGGCTCTTGGGAGATGGGGAAGCCCCAGGGCTGTGTGTGCGGGTGCTGGCAACTCCTTGGTGTGGAGGAGGGGGAGAGGGCTGCACAGGCTGACCCTGGCAGTGCTCTTGGGAGGAGCCCACAGTGGTGGAGCTGCTGGGCGGTCGGGCATCCCCATCCAGTGCTTGGGCCAAGAGCCGGGGAAGAAAGGTTTGGGAACAGAGAGGCCACTTACCCATTGCTGGTGGCAATATGGAGACCTTTGGCCCTAGCTGGCCACTCTCTTCCTGGTACAGTCTCCCACGCCGGGGTCTCTCTGCAGTATAACTGTCTCCCACGCTCACTGCCCCCAGTGGTCATCACGGAGCATAGCTGTCCCCGTTCTCAGCCCCCTCCCATTCTGTGCAATGGAACACAATCACATTCCAGGCACATCCCATTTCCCTGGCACAACCACACCCTGACCTTGATTTAAGGTAGGATAAAAGGAAGCGGCCGACCAAATTTGGTGGTCCTGGCTCTTACCATTTAAGAGGAGTTCTTCAACAAACGGACTCACAGACAGACGGCCGGATGGACTCCCTGACAGATGCACAAACGCTCTAAAATACATAGAGACAGACAAACAATACAAGAGGCCTCAGTCACCAAGCCAAAGGTTTACAGTCCTGCGACAGGGCCTCTCACCTTTCCTGACAGCAAACTTTTCTCAGGTGAGTTTTCAGTGACTTAGCCCTGTGGCCACGTCACCCACAGTCCATATGTGAAACAACACACAGAGCCCTTCCGGGGCAACAGTGCAACGGGGCCTATGACACGACCCTTAACTGGACTTTTTCTCTGCAGCTCCCTCGTGAGGCTAAATCAGGGATGGGCAATCATTTTTGAAGTGGCTCCGGGCCACCCCAGAAGGGGCGGGGCCTCAGGCAGAAGGGATGGGGCCAGGACACTTTCATGTTTTCCCACCCACAAACCTTGATTGGTTTGGAGGTGGGGGAGCACGCAAAGTACCCATGCCCCTGGTGGTGGGAGGAGACTTCATGTGCTTCCCCTTACTGCCCCCAGGTCAATCAGGGCCTGGGGAGGGGGAGCACGTGAAGTCTCTTGCTCCCTGCCCCACCCTGCAAGGGAACGCCATGCTTAGAGTCAGCCGCCAGCTGAGCAGCAGCTGGCGGTTGACTAAGTGCTGAGCCCCTTGCAGGATAGGAGGAGACTTTGCGTGCTTCCCTCCACCCCCAGGACCTGATCGGGCTGAGGGGAGGGGGACAGCAGGGCCTCCACGGGCTGGATCCACTCGCTTGGCAGGCAGGATCCAGCCCCCAGAAGCCCTTTTGTCCACCCCTGGGCTAAATCCTCAGCAATCTCTCTCTGAGCCTGGTTCTGGGCTGTCTCGCCAGAGCCCCTGTTCAGACGGGGAGCAGTGACCGCAAAGCTTCCTGCCTGGAGATGCGTTGACCCCAGCAGGCCCGGCCCTAGGGCAAAGCAAGGAAGGCAAATGCCTTGGGTCCCGCGCTTTCGGGCCCCTGGGCTGCTGAGTATTCACCATCCACCGGACAGGCCCGGGGCCTCGCTCCCAGCATCCTGCCTTGGGCCCCACAGACACTTTGGCCGGGCCTGGACCCCAGCTAAGTCATTCCTGTCAGCTCAGTGACTTCTTCTTTCAGGAGTATCAAAGTCCCACAATTGCTGGTCCTATTCTGGGTCTTCCGCCCCTTCCCTGAGCTACACCCTTGCCCAGGGCTTAAGTCACGTCCCTAGAGGCTCAGAGAAGGTGAGGGGAACTCAGGCCTGCCCACTACCCAGGTTCCCAGGGGCCCTATATGTAGGGCCACTTCCTTTCTTAGCCCCAGCGCCTTCCTTGCTCCCCTGTCTCCAGCCAGCACTGATCTGCCAAGCCCTGTAGCCAGCCAGGGACACCACCCCTGCTCTTCTGGCTCCAGCCGGCAAACTGAACATGCTTAGGCCCTGCAGCTCCTTTTAACAGGGCCCCGATTGGCACTGATTGGCTGTCCCCTGCAGCCACTTTGTGATTGGCTGCCTCCCTGCAGACTCTCTAGGCAGCTTGGGAAGACTCCCTTCTTCTGCTCTTTTCCTGGGGCAAGGTGTGATAGGGCCTTGGGGTCTCCAGACCTAATATACACAAATCCAAATGGACCAGACAGACAAAGTGGGAGAGCTGCCTATTTAAGACACACAATAAGGGCCAGATTTTCCAGGGCGTTCAGCACCCAGCATGTACCTAGCACCAGATCTGGCTCAGGAAGGCTGGGAATAGAGTAGATGAGCAAACCCAGTCTCTGCCAGGATAAGCTGAAGAAAAAGCGGATTCTCCCGGCTGCCGTGTTCTGTCCCACTTGAGCCAGGGAGTTGGAATGCTCCTGGAGAGGTGAAGTCGTAGGGGTTTGTGCGACGTTGCACCCATCGGTGTCTCTCGCTCACCCTATGGAGGGCCCTAGATTTGCATTCATCTGCTGCCCCAGTGGCTCCCCTCCTCCTGCCCCAATCACTGGCCTCGACCTCTGTCATCCCTTCACTACACACCTTGCCAAAGCATCCAAGTGCCAGCCTCAGCACCAGCCTCTCCCCCCTGCCGACCGCCCTCCCCACGGCTGCCTGGTGCGTGGAGATGTTCCGCAGTGGGTTTGTGTCAGGATGCTTTTTTTTAACGGCAGGTAATTAAATGCATGCAGTTGGTGCCATAAAGCAAGGAAACGAGTCCCAGTCCCCCTCGATAACATTGCGGATCATTCAATTCTCATTGCTCCAATAATCCAAATCTAATTTGCTGGGAGCCCTGTGCGGAGTCTTCCAGCAGTTCATTATGGCGTGTGACTAGCATTTCATTATATCTCTCAACTGGGTGCGGGGAGGGACTCCTGCTAGCAGCAGAAGCAGCAGCTGGTCTTCAGCTCTCCAGTGGATAAACCACTGCACCGTAAATCCTTCTCCACCGTGCACCACGTCACACACCTTCCTGAACCAAACCTACTTCTCAAACCCCAGGGAGCTGGAAATCTTCACCCAGATGAGGAGCTGAATGGGATAAATTGCTCCTACCTTCCAAACAGGCCAAGCTGAAAACCACACATGCAGGCATGCACATGCCCACATATGCCACTCAGGGTACAGCTAGGCTGCGTCTAGACTGGCAAGTTTTTCCGCAAAAGCACATGCTTTTGCGGAAAAAATTGCCAGCTGTCTACACTGGCCGCTTGAATTTGTGCAAGAACACTGACGATCTAATGTAAGATTGTCAGTGTTCTTGCGCAAATACTACGCTGCTCCCATTCGGGAAAAAGCCCTCTTGCGCAAATGTATTTGCGCAAGAGGGCCAGTGTACACAGCTAAAAACTGTTTTGCACAAAAAAGCCCCGATGGCAAAAATGGCGATCGGGGCTTTCTTGCGCAAAACCGCATCTAGAATGGCATGGATGCTTTTCTGCAAAAAGTGCTTTTGCGCAAAAGTGTCTGTGCCAATCTAGATGCTCTTTTCCGCAAATGCTTTTAACGGAAAAACTTTTCCGTTAAAAGCATTTGCGGAAAATCATGCCAGTCTAGACGCAGCCCTAGACTGTAGTGGTTTTTTGGGATACTGGAGGTATTCCGAAAAAACTCCACCACATTCAGGGAATGCATTTGCTCTTCCGCTTTTTTTTCAAGAAGAGCAAACGTGCTCTTTCGGAAGCCCCTGTTTTCTTGGTACCACGAGGAAGAAGGGGGCTTTCGAAAGAGGAGGGGTTTCTGAAATTTGGCCCACTCTAGATGGGCCAAATTTCAGAAAAGCCTCTTCCAACAAAAGATCCTCGCAGTGTAGCCGTATCCTTTGATGCACGTGTGTTCATGCTTGCACACACACAGATGGGCACATGTATGCACATCTGTGCATGAACCCACTCTCTCTCTCTCTAAACTGGAGCCCGTTCAAAATCCACATCAGAACTCCACTCCTAGATTTGCAGTTTGAATCCGACTTAACAGCTTCCCCCCCCACCCCAAACAATTTCCCATCATCATATTCCTGTCTTCCCCAACTGCAGCCACAGCTCGCTGTGACAGAAGACAGGCCATCTGTCCAAAAATCATTCTTACATATCATTTGGCATTATAGATCACCAGGAATGATGAAGGCTAGACGGTCACTGTGGGCCAGGCATTCAGCTTGTGTAAACTGTCTTTATTGACATCAGCGATGGTACGGCAGTTTACACCAGCCGGGGAATTATCCCTGGCTGCGTCTACACTGGCATGATTGTGCGCAAATATTTTTAACGGAAAAGTTTTTCCGTTAAAAGTATTTGCGCAAGAGAGCGTCTTTTCTGGCAAATTAACGTTGCTGTCTACACTGGCCTCTTGCGCAAGAATACTTGCACAAGAGGGCTTATCCCTGAGCGGGAGCGTCAGAGTATTTATGCAAGAACCACTGATTTTGTACATTACAAAGTCAGTGTTCTTGTGCAAATACTCGCGGCCAGTGTAGACAGGCGGCAAGATTTTGCGCAAAAGCAGTCACTTTTGCGCAAAATCTTGCCAATGTAGACACAGCCCCTGAGTCCTTAAGACAGGTTGAGAAATGAGCCAAGCTTTGCTTTACTCTCCAAGGAGAAAGGCAGCTAAGGACGTCCGGGAAAAAGAGAGCCATTGGGCAAAGGGATGCATGCAGCCAGTGGTCCCTGTGCTGGGGGCTTGTGTGGCTGTTCAGGAGAGCTTCTAATGCTGCCCAGCTGCTTAGCAGAGCTCCCACTATGAGGCTTTTGTTTCTGTGGGTGGTGCACAGGCACACATGCTCGGTGCACAAAAATATATTCCGCACATGGATGGAAAAGAATATTGGATGTGGCTAGATCCGGGTGCAGGAAAGCTGCAATTATTTGCACTTAGGCCAATTCAGATCAGTCTCTGAAATTAACATGGGGAGGGCCAAGGGCTGAACCCAGTCAGCTCCACACAATACCGCTGCCAAGTGGAACTAGTCCATGGCTATTGAATCAGCACAGACCCAACAGCCCGCCTGGCACCGCTGGGCAAGTACGAATCGCTGCCATGTCAGGTCCAGCCAGGACCCTTGTGTAGTGTGTTCATACAATATGCTCAGACTCTGACTTCGAAGCCTTGCCAAGGTAGAGCTGCCAGGCTGGCAGAGTTAAATGGGGCCAGAGAGGCGCAGGGTCAGACAAGGACTTTGTCTACACTGCGGTTTTTTTGCGGAAGAGGAAATGCAAATGGAGTGCTCATTTGCATATCTTCCTCTGATCCTTTGTGCAGAAGAGATTTTTGTGCTTAAAAACCCTGTGTAGATGGGGCCATTTGTCAGAAACCCTTATTTTGCGCAAGATCCCTTATTTCTCAAAAAATGAGGTTTACAGGATCTTGTACAAAACAGGTTTTTTTCTGAACGGCCCCATCTACACAGGGTTTTTATCGCAAAAATCTCGTCCACAAAAAGGATCAGAAGAATATGCAAATGAGAGCATGAGATTTGCAAATAAGGGATCCACTTGCATTTCCTCTTTCGAAAAACTGTTGCAGTGTAGATGTAGCTTCAGACCCTGTGAGGCCCTAAATTTTCAGGTGTCCTGTGCAATTGCATATTCTGCTTATCGGT